TGCACTTACAAACGTTTTAATTTTTTCAAATAAATGCTGGTGGAATTCCAAGAGCACTTAACAAAGTCCATCAGTGTTTTTAACAATTGCTCTTCTCATCACACCACCAATTTCCATTAACTCCTTGCCATCTCATTCGCACACTTTTTAAAAAAAAAGCCGGCTGGGAGTTTGACACATGCAGAATTCACATGTTGGACTTAAAAGTCTCTTAGAGCTACAGACGGGTTATGAAGCAGAGATTCTGCTTCCATGCACAATCTCTCTCCAAGAGTCGGGGATGATAAGACATCCTCGCCCAACTACACGCCCACACACCGCCGCGCACACCCCTCCACACCCCGAGTGCAACCCCCACACACTCCCACCCCACCCACACACACCATCTCTCTCCCACACCCGCATAACCCTCCCACACCCACCACGAACAGCCCCCACCTCGCGCCCCGCGCAAGCCCCCCCCCCCCCCCCCCGTGCCCGGCGCAGCCCCCCTCGCGCCCGGCACAGCCCGCCCCCTCGCGCCCAGTGCAGCCCCCCCCTCGCGCCATGAGCGCACGCAATGCCCCCCACCCCCGCGCACAGACAAGGACCCCCCCCCTCCACACACACGCAAGGGCCCCCCCCCCCCCACTCCCGCGCACACACACAACCTGGTGGAACTGAACCAGCTAAAGCCAGACACTTGCCAGTACAATCCAGAGGATACTCAAACAAGTTGGTCATCTCACAACCTTCACTACATTTGCTGTGGCCTTTATACAGTGTCACTGACATTGATCCGCAGTTGGGGGCTGCTAACCTAACGGGGACTGAATGTTCCGGTCCAGTGAAAACTTTCTAGAAGTGGAAGGACAAGAGAGGTCATCAAAATTCTAAAAGGTTTTTGACAGGAAAACCTCCTGCTGGATAGTAAATCTGTAACTTAATTTTATTATTATTATAATTGCCGCACAGCAATCAGTCCAATTTTCCAAACGAGAAACAGATAAAACACGCCCAGAAGGAGCTAATGAAATGCGACTGTGTTGAAGCTTGGATTCAAACCTGGCTGCCAGAATTAACTCCACTTCTATATCTACAAAAGTCTTTTGAATTGTTATCATAAAATAAGTCTTGCAAACCACACCAATAACGAACTACCACTGTAACACACTCAGCAACGTTTTAATTACAACATAAAATAAATCTGTAATTAAGGAGTATGAGTAACATGGACGACAACAATAACGTTTATATATAGTGCCTTTCATATCGAGAGGATGTTCCCAGGCAGTGAGGGCCATTTGGAACATGTACAGGGTTGTTAGAACACAAATTGATTTGCCAAAAGCAACAACAACAACAAAAATTGTATCAAGCCTTTCACATTGGGAGGACATCCCAAGGCGCTGGACAGTCAGTGTTTCGGAGCCAAGCTGGGGGTCGGGATTGGGGAGGGCAGTGGGAGAAGCAGGGTGATCGGCAGCACGGTCGAAGGAGAGGGTCTTGAGATGGGTCTTGAAGGTGGCAAGGGAGGAGGCGAGGTGGATGGACTGCGGGAAGGAGTTCCAGAGGGTGGGGCAGAGTATCAGAAGGCTCACCTGACAATGGCGGGGTGGCTGAGGCAGGGAACGTGAAGCAGGTCGGAGCCCACTGGGCAGAGGGAGCAGGCAGGATGGTAGGGGTTTAGGAGGTCACAGAGGTAGGGGGCAGCAAGATCATGGAGGGCTTTGAAGGTGAGGACCAGATTCTTGAACCGTATCCTCTATGTGATGGGAAGCCAGTGGAGTCAGGTAAGGATGGGGTGATAGGGTACAGAGCCTGGTGGGGAAGAGACACGGGCTGCAGAGTTCTGGATGATCTGCAGCCTGTGGAGGGAGGAGTTGGGGAGGCCGACAAGCAAAGAGGTTGCATAGTCAAGCCTCAATGTTATTAATGCGGTATGAGGGTTTCGGCGGCCTGCGGTGTGAGACAGTGGCAGAGCCGGGCGATGTTGCAGAGGTAGGGGAGAGCAGAGCGGGTCATGACACAGATGTGGGGTAGAAAGGAGACTTGAGCGTCAAACAAGACGCCAAGTTTCCGGACTGGTTTAGTAAGGTAGAACGTGCATCCATGGATGGTGATACTGTCAGCTATTAAGGCCAAGCCTTTAATAATACTTAAAAGGGAATGCAATTAATATTTAGGAGGGAACAATACAAGGAAGGGATCAGAAAGTTGAGATTAGATTGGTTAAAATTCAGCACAGGCTTTATTAGCAATAGGCATTCATCTGTGCTGTAATTTCTGTCACTCCACAGGCCTTAAATATCTAATCCAATAAATCACCATAAGGCAGTTTGGTTCTATCAATTTCTCTCATCCGATCTGAGCTCAGTTCCATCTTCACATAGAACGCTCACACCTCAGCTGCAGACTTCTCTGTCGCTGATGTCAACACTGTCACATCAACCAGCAGGAAACAATTGTGGGGCAGAGTAGGTCATTCATTTGGTTTTCTTTCTTCCTGTGCCACAAAGCACTTAGTCCAATTTTCCAAAAGAGAGCCAATAAAATGCTCCCAGAAGGAGCTCATGAAATTTGAAGCTGTGTTGAAGCTAGCAATCAAACCTGGGTGCTAGAATCAATTCCAGTGTTTTGAATTGTGACCATAAAATAAGTCTCGCAAACCAAACCAATAATGAACCGACCACTGTAACACACTCAGAAAGGGCAACTTTGTAATTACTGGCGACAGACATTCATGAACACAAAGCTACTCAAAAATTCACACAACAAACATTTAGTCTGAATAGACATGCTCAAAACATATGATGAATTTTTTATTACTGTTCAAACTACAAGAGCTACTTGAATATCTCATTCTGGGGCATGCTTCTCAGTAATTTGAAACCTTCGCCCAGTATTGGCGCTCAACAATTTTAATGAATTTAGTATGCACTATTATGCTGCAGCAGTAAGACCAACCAATTATTAATTTAAGGGAGGAAGTCTATGCTTTGCTGATGACTGGTCTAAATCATCTCATTAGCTGGCTTATAGACCTGTGCTTTAGATAAAGATAGAATAAATACAACTTTTCATTCCTACTGTAAACACCCTGCGCAACTAAGATCACTGAGCAACCACAACGTTTTGGGTTTCAACTCAGGTGGCTCTAAATTCAGGTAGGTGCAATTTTTTTTATATGGGATTGTTCATGGTTGCCAATTGTCTGGCTCATATAAACTTCTAACCTACAAGGCAAAGTCCAAACCAACAGGGCATCTTAGCATTGGGCAAAACTGTTATTTATTCTAAATGTGCTTCATTAAATGGCCCGAGAAGATAATACACTGAATGGAATGATATGCAATAAATAGAACTACTGTTTGGGTGTTAAGTCCATCAATTAATGCAGCAAAATGGCTAACATTAATTATTCAATTATGTCACACAGATCATGATCTAACGCAAGTTTAAAAATAAAACTTAAAGAATAATTGTCACACTCGGAATGCAAGATTGTTTGCTCCTTCATATCAAGCAACTCAAATGAACCCGAAAAATAGGATGAGAAACTCTTAAAATGTGCTATCTGTACTATACAAAATACTACGAAAATGTCTTTTTATATATTGAAATAAAGGTCTTTTCTAGAAGTGCATTGTTCATAGTCAAATAAAGCAACATACAACAGGATGCAAACCTATTAACACAGACCTAGAAACAACACTGCCCTATAAATGGTAATTAGTCTAATTGTGAATACAGCTCAAGGTTTCTAAGGATAAAAGAGCTTATATCATCATTGAAACTTGGCTCCCGCCTGCCCACTTCAACAGCAGTGAGTCCTTAAAGCCAGGGATCAGTGAAAATCCAGGTTTTGATTCGCCCCATCCCTTGCCTCCTTCAAGACCCGTCTCAAGACATCCTCCTAATGTGAAAGGAGTTATACAAATGTAATTGTGTTGTTTTGTTATTGTTCAGAAATATCAAGGTGGTAAATCAGGAGGCCACCAATTTAAAATGAGTTCCACAATAAAATCCAATTCCGTATTTGCCAAATATTATATTAAAGAAACATTATAAGGCATATTCTAACATTTTTCAATAACTCTCGCAGTCCAAAACCAAGACGACTGAATCACTCTTGGACAGCCAAGTTGAAATTGAAGTGGTAAGCTTTGAAAAGGCATTTATATCCTTCTGTCCTGACTGAGGGATCTTGAGCAGCATCTGCTGAGCCTCTGAAACATTACGTTCTTTTGCACTTCATTTCCTGCACTAATCAAACTGACTGGGTGGGTAGTTCCAGCATGTCCTACCCTCCCAGTTGGAAAAGCCAGGTTGACAAGAGCAAGCAAAGGGAGAAAACTGTGAAACATAAAAATTCTATCCATGAAAACTCATGTTAAAACATAATCGGCTAGTTTTCACATGCCAATTTCAGAACATAGTGTCACAGAAACATTTATGACACATGAAGATTCATGCATACAATTTGCCTTGCACATCAATGACAACTCCATGCCGCTTCACAACAATGGGCGGCTGTGCTATTACAAAGTTAAGTGCTTAAATTAAACGGATTCCACTGCACTGGGTGCAACACATAGGCCCAAAAGGGTGTTCACACATTTTTTGTGATATTCCCCAATCACATACACAGTAAACATGAGCATGCAAGCTTCAACTAGTTCCAAATCTTGTTACAAAGAACAACTTGCTTCAAAGAATTCACCGATAATCCTGCATTCTCACTGCCTATTTACTTATTTTTGCTGCCACAGCCCCTGAAACCAAAGTTGGTTTGATTCAGCGAGTATTGTATAACACATTGCCCACCGTTCTTCCTAAAGCTCATCTTGAAGTGTTGAAAGTCTTGAGATTGCAGCAATTTACAACACGATGAACAACTTAAACTGGTATTTACTGAATTTATTTACCCACCAATCTAGCACAAATTAGTAAGGTGAAGGCAATTTTTTTTGTATATAAAAAAACTGTTTGGGAGAGAGAGAAAAAAAACATATACCCACCCCTGGCAGACAGTTTCTTGGTGTTGATGATTTTGGCAGCATATTCCTGACCTGTCGAGATCTTCATGCACCTCCTCACCACCGAGAATGCTCCCCTGAAAGCAACGCAACAATACGCTCAAATCAACAACAACAACTGGCAATTGGAAGTCGTCTCAGAGCAAAAAACCTGTCCAGAGTTGGGTAACTTAAGATCCTAATAAATTACAATGCTGCTTAGGTCCAACTGACGGACAACCAAGCTATTTGCTCGTGCAGTGATGGTGGTAGCAGGGGTGCTCGGTTAATATTCAAAACACATTTTCCAAACATTAAAACAGCCTCACTAACAACAAAGAGAGTCAACCCCCCCGCCCGCCGCCCGCCCCCCCAAAAAAATCACAAGGACTGGATTTCATAGGATACCGTGATTAAAGAAAACCCATGTTTACAACACAATACACTCCGGCAGCCAAACAAAAATCGGCAACAACGCGCGAACTGTACTTGCAAATCAATACGTAAACTTGACCGGGCAGTTTGCAGGATCGGACGCCCCCCCACCCCCCCCCCCGGGAGCGGGCGTTAAATTTCGCCCACAAACCGACGCGGTCAAATTCACTTGACGGTGCATCCGGCGAAGCGCTCGAGATGTCCGGAGGACTTGATCAGGCGCGGTGTCGAACGCGAGGATCATTCTGATGATGATTATTATTATTATTATTATTATGATGAAATGTATCCCTGACTTGTTGTTGTGTTAAATACATGGAAAAGGGAGACACAAACAAACACTCAGTCACACAGACACACACACACACACAGACCATGGCAGCTGCTGGGATCCCCGGCTCTCAGTGCCAGTTGAGCAGAAGCTTTCATTCAGTTGGGGGTTGGGGTTTGAGGGGTTGGGGTTGAGGGGTTGGGGTTTGAGGGGTTGGGGTTGAGGGGTTGGGGTTGAGGGGTTGGGGGGGTTGAGGGGGGGTGAGGGTTGGGGGGTGAGGGGTTGGGGGGGTGAGGGGTTGGGGGGGGTGAGGGGGGGGGGGTGAGGGGTTGGGGGGTTGAGGGGTGGGGTTGAGGGGTTGGGGGGGTTGAGGGGGGTGAGGGTTGAGGGGGTTGAGGGGTTGGGGTGGGGGGGTTGAGGGGGGTGAGGGGTTGGGGGGGTGAGGGGTTGGGGGGGTTGAGGGGTTGGGGTTGAGGGGGGGTTAAGGAAATCAAACACATTGCAACATGTTGTTGGACTGACACATCAAACACAGCCCATGTCACTCAGCTCAGAGGTGCTGCCACTTTGTAGCCGTACTTTCCGAGTTCCTCGAAGAGCTGATACTCGTCAGTGAACCTGGTGCAGGTGGTGGAAGCCATGGTGGTCGCTGCCGCCGCTGCCGCCGCCGCCGCCGCCCTCCTCCTCCTCGCTCTCGCCTTCCTCGCTCTGAGCACAGCACCGACTCGGGAGCTCAGCCACTGCCCCGCTCGCTGGTGCACGGCAGCCGCCCCGGGCACCTCGGGCAATGCTCGGCTGTGGGGCTGCAGCAGCAGCAGCACCGTGTCTGCTATTATACTGTCTTCTCTCCACACCCCCCCCCCCCCCCCCCCTCCCTCCCTCTCTCTCTCACTACAGGTGTGAGTGTGTGTGTGTGCAATGGGCAGAGCTGGACAGTGCTGGGGGGGGGGGGGGAGGTGGTGGGGTGGGGAGGAGGGGGGTGGTGGGGGGTGGGGGTCGTCTGGCTGTGCTCCTTGTCCCCAGTCAGTCAATCCGTGTGTGACCGTGTATGTGTCTATGTGTGTGTGTGTGTGTGTGTGACTGTGTCTCTGTCTGTGTGTGTGTGTGAGACTGTGTGTGTGTGTGTGTCTCTGTGTGTGTGTCTGTGTGTGTCCTCACTGCAGGTTGTGTGACAGCCTGAAAACGATTCCCCCCTCTCGTCTCAACCAGTCAATCCAACCCCTGAGCAACACCACAGCAGATCTGAAGCTGCTGCTGCTGTTGCTGCTGCTGCTCTCTCCAGCAATGCAAGCAATGTGTGTGGTGTGTGTGTGTGAGTGTGACCCTGTGCCTGTCCTGTCCTGCTCTCAGTCTCTGTCCTCTTGTGGTTGGTGTGTGTCCCTCTTCCTCTGGTGTAAAGCAACAGCCTGACTGTGTGTGACCGACTCACTCACTCACTAACTCACTCCTCAGCCTTTCCACTAACAGGGAAATGAGATACTGAAAGCCCCAGCTCCTGTGTCTCTGCACATCTCGCGATAAACCCTCCCCCAAACCAGCTTACCACTGGGGGAGGGGGTGTGGGGATGGGGTGTGGGGGTGGGGGGGGGAAGGAGCTTGGCCACTGACGTCAAGCACCCAGCAAAGCCCAGCCTTGTTTTTTTTTCTTAGACATTGCATCTCAAAATACATTTAAAACGAAAAACCCCAAGCGTTAGAACCCTGTTCAGATGTAAATAAACACAGGAAACTTACCCCCCACCCCACCCCCCCATCCTCCCAATTCCAGTAAATCTGTGCGCTTAGCTGTGTTGCTCTTGTCTCAATACTGGTGCAAATCAAATTATCATTTTTTTTGGTAAAAGAGATGTGGGGGTTAATGTGTTATTTTACAATCTCGAGCGTCAGAAAATCTTTCCCCCATTCCTGTAGGTCTGTGTGCTTAGCTGCTTTGCTCATATCTCGATACTGACGCAAACATGTATTTTTAGTCGAGATGGATAATGTGCTATTTTACCGTCTTCCACTGCAAATGTATATTACAATGACATTTTGCTGTCAGGGGCTATTTATTTGCTGGCAAGGCACCACTGCCATGGGGATTGTCCTCCGCCAGTGGTACGCCATATATTGCAGCATTTACATTTCAAATTGGAGGACATTATATCTTAAAAAGAACAAAGAGGGATCCCAATAGTGGAAACTGCAGGCAGAGAAACAAAATGTACATCGTGCCCGAAAAGCACTCAGATTCAGAAGATTTTTTTATTCTCTTCAAGATCACAGCATTCCACCAGTGTCAGTAGGTAGGACTGTAACCTTTCGCCCGTTTCAGTTCCACACAGGGAGCAGGGCCAGGGGCTGGGATAAAAATAACCCTTGCATTTGGCATAGCACTTTTCAGGTCAGGTGGACGTCTCAAAGCGCTTCATATGATTTATTGTAAAGTGCAGTGACTGTATATTTGTAGGCGAATACAGCAGCCCATCTGTGCACATCAGTTTCCCACCAAGACAGCCAATAAAGTAAATGCCCACTTTATTTTTACCCGAGGACACCAGGCGAAAGACATCGAGAGAAACTCCCTCCTCATTTTGAGTAGTGCTATGCGATCTTTAAACAGGCAGACATTGGTGGGCAGCAAGCCAAGGCTGAATAGTGGAGACATGGGATGGATGAATTATCTGGATCTTTGCTTGATTATTTTTGAGGATTCTTAAAGTTTTCCCCAGGAATGGGTGAGATGGAATTTATAGTACGGTAGATGCATCATGGTCTGTGAAATAAACGGTTTTGATGGGCTGAATGGTTTTGGTTAATAGATTTTATGTTAAAATAAGTAATACAGATGGTGTGCAATTCTAAATGATTATAATGGCCCTCTGACACTTGGCTGCAGAATTGCTAACAATGTGAGCCGAGTGACCTTGTTAATATAATAATAATTATAATCCTTACATTTTATACAGTGGCTTTCGTGTCAGGAAGTCGTCTCAAAGCGCTTCACAGGATATATTGTAAAGGGAAGTGACTGCATATTTGGAGGCGAATGACCACAAATGCATATTGTATTCATCAACTACAGGAGTGCTAATTGCAGCCCTTTGGCAAAGACTGAATGTAGTTTCACTTCTCTATCTTCTACAAGAGATTCTTTAACACTTACAGGGTCTCCACAACGGCAGTGAGAGAAAGCCATGTGTTTTTCAAAGGAATGAAAAACAAGTCAGAGAATCATCACCCAGGTTGGTTCTATGCACCTCCTAGTGGCCAGTTCTGAGTTTTAATGACAAAGGCCTTGGGGGGTTGGTCACCTATCTGCCTACTTTCTCAATCACTGTTGTTTTTCAGCCCAGGAAGGAAGAGCATGGAACTGGGAGACAATGGAAAAAAGAGGAACAGAGGAAACCATACTCTTCGATTTAAAAACTGTGAAAAATATACTTAGAGAAAAGTGCATGTGATCAATGAAAAAAAGGAAATGGAAACTTAAACCACAGATAACCAAAACCAGATTTAATGCAAATCCAAAAGTTCAAAGATAGTGCAGTGACAACATACTGTCAAATAAAGTATACACAAACAAGATTGTTTGAGTGATTTGTTGCGTCCATCAACATTGCTTTAATACACTTTTTAAAACAATTTGTGACCAAAATACTGGAAAGGTAAATCATAGAATCGCAGAATGTTTAACACACAGGTCCATCATATCTGCACTGGGCTAGCTGCCAAAGGCACTGCCATGCAAACTAGAATATGACGATTAGCTGATCTCAGCCAAGGCAGCAGTTGGAGAACAGAACAGAAAATCAGCCAAAGTTTCTGCTCCTGATCATGATCAGAACATTGGATGAAGACAGGGTGAGGAATGGTTGTGTCCCATATCATTTTCCAACAACATCTAGCCTCATACATGATCACTTAGTTGAAGTATTGGATAATGTCTGGGCCAGTGGAATTGTACCCCAGCAGAAAGAACAAGGAACCAATTGTCTTCAGGAGACAAGGAGAGAAAATTGAAGACAGTTTATAATGAGAAAATAATTATTAAAATATAGCTCTCTAGTTGTGAAACTAAGATATACCAGACTCTAATGGTCTTAGATTTTTTTTATGATCTATGCTGGATAAGAATTACAAAGCTCTACATTTAGACTGATTGAAAGTGAGATCAGAAAAAAAATTCACACAAGGAGTTGTAAAATATGAAATACATTGCTCCAAAAAGCCATAGATGCAGAATTGATTGGGTTGTTTAAAAGAGGAATAGGTAGATACTTGGAGAACAAGATTAAAGATACAAAAATGAGATTTCAAGATCAGGCATGATATGGAATACTAATAAAGCTGTGAAACAGGCTCAATGTGCTGAATGGCATCTGCTATGTTTTAATGACTTTCAACCTTGTTTACAAAATAATACCTTATCACGTTGAAATGTCTTAAAGCACTTCACATTAATTACTGTTGTGGGGTGACTGTGTATTCCCAACTCTTCCCTTCACAAGCTGCAGATCATCCCAAACTCTGCAGCTTGTGTACTCTCACGCACCAGGCTCCATGACCCCATCACTCCCACTCTCGCCCGACTCCACTGGCCCCCCCATCCCCCAGAGGAGCGAATTCAAGATCCTCGTCCTCATTTTTAAGGCCATCCATGGCCTTGTCCCCTCCTACTTACTTCTCTGACTGCTGACTCTCTACCAACCTGCCCGCTCCCTCCATTCAGCGGGCTCCAGTCTGCTCCATGTCTCCCGCCCGACCACCCTACCATTGATGGCCGGGCTTTCAGCCTTTCTGTCCCCACACTCTGGAACTCCATCCCACAGTCCCTTTGCCTCGCTTCTTCCTTTGCCTCCTTCAAGGCCAGTCTCAAGACCCTTCTCTTCGATCGTGGCTTTGGTCACCCTCCCATCTCTCTGCCTTCCCTCACCCCTACCCCACCCCTCCCGCATGCTCAGGCCCCAACACCTGACTGTTCAGCACTTTGGAACGTCCTCCCAACGTGAAAGGGGCTCTATAAATGTAATTTTTTTGTTGTTGTATTTGTAGGCAAGTGCAGAAGCCAATTTACACATAGGGTTGTCCTGCAAACAATCAGGAGGTGATTTAACTGGAGGATTGTTGACCTGTTTACCAGGAGAAACTCCCCTCACTTTTGAAATTGTAATGCCAGGTCTTTAACGTCCACCTGAACAGGCAGACAAGATGTCAATTGAACATCTCATCTGAAACACAGCACCTCCGACAATACAGATTTAATGCAAATCAGAGAAAAAGCTTCAGGATCAGTTCAGCAATTATGCCAGCAATATGGCACTTCCCCCATCATTGCATTGGAGTATCAGCCTAGACCATGATCACAATGACAACAAAATTACATTCATATATGTATGTAAGGGTGAAAATGCTGCCAATTGAGTCAGACACCTTAATGTTTCTTAAATACTAGGCTAAGAATGGGAATAAATCAGTGAGGGTTCCCACTCCTTACTAGTATTAAGTGGCCCCTGTTGCAAAGTACGTACATATGTTTATCAGCTGAAGGCTAGTTCAGGCTTAGCTGTCTCAACCAAAGGTCAAGCAGCTACTGACTCTCATTGTTGAGCTCACATACGATTAATCACTCGGGTGAGATACTGGAAGACAACCAGCAAATGTGGAACTGTACCTATCTTTGGAAGAGGAGGGAAGAACGTTGCTGGGGAAAGCTAAAATATATTTTGATGAATGAAAGTAATCTTTAATGAAAGGTTGCCCCAATGAGGAACGTTTTGAAGGTTTATTGAAATAGCAGCACCTCTAGCCTGCCATGCTTCATTTCTAATAATGAAGTGCACAGGACACTAGTTGCACGGCTATTTATTGCATGGTTAGGCACTCAAAGTAAAGCT